CTTATGGAAATGAACCAATGACAGACATACAAACAAGAGAATAAGATCTATGACAAAGCCATGAAACTGGAGTAAGAGTTTGGGGAATACTTTACAGCCATTGTACAGGGTGACTCACCGGAAAATATTTATAACAAAATCAAACAAATCATTGAGGACAAGACTGGACACTACATTTGGGTCCCATCTCCTGAAAAACTGAAGAATCCTCTCCAGCCATTCCCTTGTGAACAGAAGAAATCAAGTCCCTCTTCCCTCCTCCCTCTTCATTCCTGTCCCCATGGGGAGAACAAATGCTGCTTTTCTTGTCCCCTTTTTTAGATATGTAAAAAAAATTGAGTTTTAAGCTTTGTGCAGTGGCAATATTGTAGCCAATGTGGTTTATCTGAGGCTAGATTATTGCTAATTGAAAACTTTGCTCAATACCCCACCATGAGGACTTGAAATATAGTCAGCATGGGAAATTTTTGACAGTCTCTACAGAGACTGAACGAACAAAAAAATCTGAATTTTCTAGTCGTGTTTTTTTTTTTTTAAATTTTCATTTTGTTTTAGTTTATTTTGAGGGATGATGCCATCTAACTACCATGTGGCTGTGCTCATTCCTGCATGGTCGTTTCCCAAGCACTAGCACAGGTGCAAATTCATCAAAGCCATTGGTTTCATAAAATCCAAGCAGAAGCAAAGAATGGAGGACTGATGGAAAGACAAACTGCACAGCTTGTGAAGTGAGGTAAAAGCACCACATGATGAGATGTTCCTGGACATTTCTACCTATCTATACTGCTATCTTGCAGCTCTGAACAGCACAACATAATGGCAACAGAAAGTATCTTATTTATATAGAGAGATATATATGTAATTTATATAAATATATAGAAATTATATATATTATACACTCATATATATATATATATTCACACACATTTGAACTACAAAATCTATGGAGACTTCATCAATGGTACTATGTTATTAGAGAAATGCTTTCGTTTTCATATTCCAATCAGATGACATCTTCTATCTCAGCTGGTTGGGAAGGGATTGAAAATGGTAGTAAGTGCTGCACTAAGGGCACTCACATTTGGTCATTGTCTTGAGAGGTTTTCTCTAGGAGGGGTCAGCCTGAGGCCTGAAAGAAAGGAGGGGAGAGAGAATTGGAGACTCTTGATACTTGAAAGCATCTGCTGAGCTGAGATGCAGTCAGTTCTGTGTACAGAAAGAGAAAGAATGGCTAATGATGCTCCACGTGAAATAACTAAATACATAAATACCCTGTTGTAATTGAACTTTTAAATATATCTATGTCTAACCCTTCCCACTAGATTGTAATATTGGGAAGGGATCACAGTTTTTCTTTAGGTGCTCTAGAGAACTTAGGAAAGTGCTTTGGGTACCACTTATGAGGCACCCAAGAAATAATTGTTGAATAACTACCAAGTGCAATTTATGACAATAATTTTAGATTTTAGTGCTTTGTAGTGAGGACTTCTGTCAGTGTTCATTAAGGGCCAGTAAAGAAAATACAACAAAGGTTGATTATAAAACAAAGCAAAATCCCCACCATGATCAAAATATTTTATGATAGGTTGTTACTTTCTTTTATGAAAAAGATCTCTTGTTTTCCTACTTGCAGTATCATTAGTGAAATTTTGTTTTTTCTTTGGAATTTGAAACATTCACTACAGCAGAAACCTTGTCAGTCTCCTTTCTTTAAAAGAAACGCCCCTTGGCATGTTAGACAAGAAGCTTATTGAGGCTTGTTGGAAGGCAACTGTTTCCTCCAGGCAACAATTGTTCAATGGCCCTGCTGTGTGTCTTCAGGGGAAAGAATACCCCAAATCTCAAATCCCTGACATGTGGGCAGAAGTGACTTGGCATTCTTTGGGTAGAGATGAGGGATGTGGTTTACTCTTGGAAAAATATTGATTTAAATTCCTGGGCAGTGTCATTGTCCACTTGTAAATAAATACATTTATGTGCTAAAAAGATTATCAGTAACCTTCTTGCTCCAAAGTCATTTTCTTTCTGTAGGAGATTTAAATTTTATTCCTTGATGAATCCTTGTAGCACTCATTCCTATTTGTTCTGGTGATATATGGTTTCCAGTCACATCTATTCACTGTTTACTGTGTCTCTATTTTAAGTCCTATTACAGAAATTAGTATTACTGTATGCCCCCTTGTTATGGTGTGTTATAGTGAACATGTGCCTGTAGTCATATAAGAAATGCTATAATTCTTTATATATTGTAAATTAAAATCCTCAACCCCTACCAGCTGACTAAATGGACCCCCTCATGGCCAGAAGAATATTCAAGGGCAAAGTTGCCTGCCAAAAAGAGAGAGGTCAGACAGGCCTTATCATGCCCCCCTCCCTTCTTAGAGACTTCCTTTGTAACCCATTAACAGGCCTGAGGGTATGCAAGACAAACCTGCAGGCCTTCTATTTGCAACAAATGGTGGCTTACCTCTAGTAAACAGTTTATGTTAAAACATTCCACCTCTTTAGACAAAGCTTCATGTCTTTAGCCAATTACAATCTAAAGAATCTTTAAACCCACCTATAACCTGTAAGCCCTCGCTTCAAGATGGCCCTCCTTTTTGGGCCAAACCAATGTATACCTCCCACACATTGATTAATGGCTTTACCCATAACCCTTGTCTCTAAAATGTATAAAAACCAAACTGTAACCCAGCCACAGCGAGTCCACTTGCCCAAGGCCTCTTAGCAGTGGCTCCGGGTCATAGTCCTCAAATTTGGCTCAAAATAAATCTCTTTAAAATTATTTTGCAAATTTGGCTTTTTTTTTTTCGTCGACAATATAAAATATAATTTCTTGAAAATAAAAGTTAATATGTGAAATCTTGGACTTACAGATATGATCAAGTCAGGAAACATTTTTTTTTGTTACATTCCCTGAAGATTCAGAGCTGAAAAGATGTTCATATTTGACATAGCAGAACCCATTACCAAGGTATGAATATGGCCCATTCTGCTCAACCTTACAGAGATATAGAACACTCTAGGAGGCATATATATACTTGTCACTAAGCAATCTTAGAGCATGGGAGAAAGGCTTGTGGTCCAGAGTTGATAGCTTGAGGGTGGTAACTTCAGTGAAGGTATACTATCATGCTCAAAGGTACCAGGCCTGGCCACCACCTTAATTCAGCACAGTGAATGGTGTTCTCAACATAGTAAGCATTCAATAAGGTGGAAAAGACTTCAAGGAGTCATTTATCCTAAAAGTCCTCTGCTTTTTGTGTGCTCACGCAAACATGACTGATGACATTCTGACAGAGTCATGTATAGTTCTTAGCGTGTTAGCTATAACATTAACTCTTTACTCATTCAAAAAATCTGATAGGATGCTAGGTTCCTGAAAGTATCATATTAATGAGACATCTTCGTATCTATTAAAATTTATAAATATGCTAATAATCAACAAATTACTTGATACATTTCACATTGATTGAACCCCCGACTGTATAATGGAGATTTAAAATCACTGATTTAATTGAATCTTCCATCAAGTCCATTAGTCTGGTAGACACTCCTTTTCATTGACTTTTATATTGCTTTTCCTCAAAAATCAAAAGAAGGTATATGTTATATTTAGGAATGAAAGTTTGATTTTATAAGCCAATGCAGAACTAGAATCCCCATTAGAAAAATTACCTTATAGCAAATTTTGCTCGATTATAACTGATCTTTAAAGCAGGCACTCAGTACTCTGATCTGAATAGCCTTTAAAAATTCTAGTTTCTATTGTGAGAAATTGAAATTGTTTTTCCTGCAGTTATGTGATGAGGGAGAAAATTACCCACAATCACAAGCAACATAGAAGGATAAAAATACAACCTCTGTGCATGCATGCTTGTGTGGAGGGGGAGTGGGGTGTAAACCTAGAGGGGGCCTGACTGTATATGAGTTTCTTATTTTGCATTTTCATTCTCATTGTCAGGACTGCTTCTTTTTATTTTATTTTTTGGTGCATCTGCCCCATGTGTCTTTTTAGTATGACTCTATGAAAAAACTTTCTAATTGTGCTCCTGCAGCTCAGAAATATTAAAGTACGCTTTTAAATATGGGTAAATTACCATAGATGTGTGAATTCAGATTCTAAAAGAAATGTATATCAGAGGAGAAACCTAACTAAGGAATATTACTTTTACTATTTTTAAAACTCTATGCTAGGTATGATGAGAAGACAAAATAAATATGCTATTTCTGTTAATCTAGTTGAAGTAGCACAGATACACCTGAAAGATACCTTATTGCACATGTTAAGAGCTAACAAGTGGTACCCATACATTCCAAACATAGTGTACAGACAGGCTTAGGTCTTATATCTTCTTATTCAGTTTTTGTTCTGAACAATGAAACTTGAGACTTAAGTGACTCTGAACCTTGTGTGATTCCTCAAGAAAAGATTAATTTTCATTGACTATACAATGCTTGTTAAGATTGAAAGCAAACTTGGGTTGTTTGGAAAGAATTTCAATCAGAGATGAGATTAAGACAGGCTTGTAGATAATCAGAAGAAAATATAGCTTCCCACTACCCACAATTTTGAGTTAACTGCATTACTTTAACAACTAAGTGTGCCATCTTATATCATCTTCATTTTAACCATGGAGTAATTGTCTTCATTTTATATTCTTTATTTACTGTTTATTTAAGTAACTTATTTAGGTTATTGATAGCGTCAACTAGCCTGGCATCTGCATTGTTGAAAATGGGAATTTTCAATGGTAAAAAAGAAAGTTGGCTTGATAGAAGGACCTGTGGGCTAAAAGCTCCTTGACTCATTTGTGAGACTTCATTAACAAGACAATAAAAAAGAGGGAAAAATCACCTATCTTCTCAAAGAAACCACAAATTTTGTTCCACATCTGAATTAATTTATACTAGTTCATAAACACTTTATTGAATTTGAAAATTAAAAACAACAAAAGCTGTTTGCTAAGCAGTATGGTTTCTTGTCATTTGGGTCCTAGATTAAGAAGAAACAGCAAGATGTGCTTGGTTTCTTAGAAGCCAACAAAATAGGATTTGAAGAAAAAGATATTGCAGCAAATGAAGAGAATCGGAAGTGGATGAGAGAAAATGTACCTGAAAACAGTCGACCAGCCACAGGGTATCCCCTGCCACCTCAGATTTTCAATGAAAGCCAGTACCGTGGGGTAAGGAAACAATTTTAATTCTTATTTATTGAAATAAATTGCCCCAAGTCCATCCTATTTATTTCATCCCCACCTCCAAATCTGCTTACAGTCATTTTCCCTCTGCAACCACTAAGCAGCTGGAGTATTTTGCCTTCTACTAGGAGGCAAATGGATGTGTCAGCCACATACACAAAACTAACTGGAAATGTACAAATACAGACCTTGGCTATATAGTTGACTTTACAGTTTTTCATCTTGTTTCCAACCAGAGAAATTGTGTTTTTATTGTGTCCAAAGAAAAGCCTCTGAAAAGAAGTCAGATGCTTTAATTATTTAGATTAAAATTAGTTAAAAAGAGAAATATCTGATTTTCTCCTTGAAGCTAGTAATACTTATATTTTAGTATCATTGGTAGATTGTCTCAAAATTTTCAGTTAGCTAATAAAACTCATATAAAGAATAAGGGAGGCTGGGCTTGGTGGCTCACTCCTATAATTCTAGCACTCTGAGAGGCCGAGGTGGGTGGATCATTTAAGCTCAGGAGTTCGAGACCAGCCTGAGCAAGAGCGAGACCCCTATCTCTACTAAAAAAAATAGAAAGAAATTAGCCTGACAACTAAAAATGTATAGAAAACATTAGCCGGGCATGGTGGCACATACCTGTAGCCCCAGCTACTTGGGAGACTGAGGCAGAAGGATCACTTGTGCCCAGGAATTTGAGGTTGCTGTGAGATAGGCTGATGCCATGGCACTCTAGCCCCAGCAACAGAGTGAGACTCTGTCTCAAAAAAAAAAGAATGAGGGAAACAAAACATTGAGCTTTTCCTTTATGTCAGGGACTTCTAGGTGTGCCATCTTATATCATTTTCATTTTAACCATGGAGTAATTGTCTTCATTTTATATTCTTTATTTACTGTTTATTTAAGTAACTTCTGTAGCCTATGGCCATTCTAGGTTCCATGGCAGGCCCAAGTATAAATAAAACATAGACTCTTCTCTTGAGGAATTGGTTGGGCATGGGGTGTGGGAAGAATCATACACACCTGAAATAATGCGAGAACGTTTATGAAACCACATACATGCAATGACATGACACAAAAAATATATGCAAGAGCTATAGAAATTTGGAGTAAATTTATGTTTGTATTGCTAGGTTCTCAGGTTTATTTATTTATTTTTATTTTTAAAATTTCAGAATATAATGGGAGTACAAACATTTTGATTTCATAAGTTGCTTTTGTACAGTTTGAGTCAAAGTTATAAGTGTGCCCATCACTTAGATAGTGTGCATTGTACCTGTCAGGTGTGAATTTACACATCCCTTCCTCCCCCCTTCCCACCTGTTTAATTCCCATTGAGTTTTACTAACATGTACACATGCTTGTTGATCAATTAGTTCCAATTTGATAGTGAGTACACATGGTGTTTGTTTTTCCATTCTTGCGATACTTCACTTAGAAATATGTTCTCCCATTCCATCTAGGTTGTTCACCATTTTTCACGACTGAATAGTACTCCAAGGTATACATGTACCACATTTTATTAATCCACTCAGGTATTGGTGGGCACTTGGGTTGATTCCACATATTTGCAATTGTGAAATGTGCTGCAACACTTGAAACCCCAAAGATTCTGCCAAGAGACTCCTGGAATTGATAAAAAAAAATATATAGCAAAGTCTCAGGTTACAAAATCAATGTACACAAATCAGTAGCATTCCTATACACCAGTAACAGTCAAGCTGAAAATCAAATCAAAGACTCAATACCTTTCACAATAGCAACAAAGAAAATAAAATAACTGGGAATATATTTAACCAAGGCAGTAAAAGACCTCTACAGGAAGAACTATGATCACTGAGGAAGGAAACTGCAGAGGATGTAAACAAATGGAAAAACATATCATGCTCATGGATTGGCAGAATCAACATTGTTAAAATGTCTATACAACTGGAAGTGATTTACAGATTCAGTGCAGTCCCCATCAAAATACCAACATCATTTTTCCCAGATCTAGAAAAAATAATGTTGTGCTTTGCATGGAACCAGAAAAGACCCCAAATAGCCAAAGTAACCTTAAGCAAAAAGAATAAATCAGGAGGCATCATTTCACCAGACTTCAAGCTACACTACAAGGCTATAGTGACCAAAACAGCATAGGATTGGCACAAGAACAGAGACATAGACCAATAGAACAGAACAGGGAATCCAGATATAAAACCCTCCTCATATAGCCATCTAATCTTTGACAAAGCAGACAAAAACATACACTGTAGAAAAGAATCCCTATTCACTAAATGGTACTGGGAATATTAGATATCTACATGTAGACTACTGAAACAGGATCTACACCTCTCAGCACTAACAAAAGTTAATTCACGATGGATGACAGACTTAAACTTAAGGCATGAAAAAGAAGAAAATGTTGAAAAAACTCTTATAGATACTGGACTAGGGAAAGAATTTATGAAGAAGACCCCAAAGGCAATGACAACAACAACAAAATAAATAAATGGGACCTGATTAAATTAAAAAGCTCTGCACAGCCAAGGAAACAATTAATAGAGCAAGTAGACAACCTATAGAATGGAAGAAAATATTTGCATGCTATACCTCCAATAAAGGGCTAGTAAGCAGAATCTACAAAGAACTCAAGAAAATCAGCATGAAATAAATCAAAGAACCCCAAATGTCAGCAAAAGCCATGAACAGAAGCTTTTCAAAAGAAAATAAACTATTGGCCAATAAAGATATGAAAAAATGCTCAACATCTCCAATCATCAGGGAACTGCAAATCAGAACCACAATGAGATATCACCTAACTCCTGTGAGAATGGCTTTTATCAAAAAGTCCCAAACAACAGATGGATGCCAAGAAAAAGGAACACTTATACACTGTTGGTGAGACTGCAAACTAGTGCAACCTCTATGGAAAGTACTATGGAGATACCTCAAAGAACTAAAAGTAGACCTACCATTTGATCCAACAATCCCTTTATTGTATAGTTACCCAAAGGAAAATAAGTCCTCAGTTTAACAGATGTGTTTAGAGGCATCAATTCAAATCTTCTACATCATACATTTATATGGGAGTGAGAAGGATGCTTTTTGGCAGAAAGCCTTTCAGATGCCAATTCAGAACTTCCTAGGGTGGAATATGATAAAAATGAGAAAGTACACTGGTAGAAAATATTTTCTCTGTGAGTGAATTTATCACCTCTAAAGAGGAACCTGAAGATTTCACCCATTGCTGCAAATAGGGCCAATGTGCAAAGACATGTTCTGTAAATAAGCAGAAGGCACTTAGGCTATTCTTTTAGATGATGTAATGTCAGTGCCATAATATTTGAAATTTCTGCAAATTTCAGAATCTCAGGTACTGAAATAGGCCTCATCTAGTACAATGTAAGAAAGCATGTGTTGTCTTAATCTCTTATTCTTGAAGCAGAAATTTCAATTGTTTGACTTTTGTAAGTAAACACATTTTGGAATATAAGGGAACATTTGAGAAACCACATTTACCTGGTTTATTTCTACTTTGCAAGCCACACTGCAGGAAAATGGAGTGTGTTATAGAAATAAGGCAAGTATCACTGAGAAATGGGAAGATGGAAATGAAGTAATGGTAATGAGAACCAAATAATCAAATTAATATTTGTTAATGAAAAGGGAATCCAACCTAAATTGAGTGCCTGCTTTGTGCCAGGCACTGAGTTAGGGAGTTTAATAACAGTAAAAGTTAAGATTTATCATTTTCCAATTCATGGGAAGAAGAGTACATAGAAATAATTAAAGAACTATTCACTTTCAGTATTGTGCTATATGCTTATGTGTATTATAATAATCTATTCTCATACTAATCCTATGAGGTAGGTATTTTATTACTATTTTATAGATAAAGAATTTGAGGCCTGGAAGTGGCTAACTAGCTTTCTAGGTCACACAACTAGGAAGTAGTAATGAAAGTAGGATTTAAACCTAAATTTGTTTTACTCCTAAAGCTTCTACTCTAATTAAACCACACTATTGTTCATTTTCCTATTTATCAGAATGTCTTCTTTTTTTTTTCTTGTTTTCTGTTCTGTATTGTGAGGGGGCTGTTTTCTGCAAATTACATTTCCCAGTCCCATTGCCAACTGCTCTATTAGGTTCGCCAGTAATGGGAGGCACTGGTTGGAAGATTACAGGAACGGAGGAGGGGAAAATCACGATATCCTTTTCCTTGTTTCTGTGGCTGTGTGTTTCCATGACAGTGGCTGTGTCTCCCTTGTGGTACCAGCTCTACCAGGTGTCCCAGCTCCTAGGCTCTATAATATCACCGTCTTTATTTTCCTCTAGCTGTGGTAGGAGCTTCCTACTGTTGCTAATCTCTGGGTTGTCTCACCATGTCCTGTTTGCCTTTCAGTTATTTAACCCTTTGTAATTAGGTCTCCATATTAAATTACCTCTATTAACTATCTCAGGTTTCTAAACCTTGGCACAATTGATATCTTAGATGGATAATTCTTTGTTTTGGGGGCTGCCTTGTGCATCGTAAGATCTTTAGCAACATCCCTGGCTTCCACACATGAGATGCCAATAGTACCTCCAATTGTGAACAACCAAAATTTTCCATAGACACTGCCAGATTATCCCCTAGGGGAAACATTACATCCTGTTGAGAACCACTTAACTATGCCTTAGGTTCTAATTTCCTGACTGGACTTGACTGAAACTACTACCCTACTTATATATGAGGCTCTGCTATAGAAGATACAATTTGGGGGTAATCTTCATTCTGAAAGAAGTAGTATGTGAAGAACTAAAATTCATTTTCATGAAGTGATAATTAATATGATACCAGTATATGGTAAAATACATTCTGGATTAATGTTACTGGAATCCAGAGATGTAATATAGTATCTTTACTTTTTTCTTCAAGAAATTCCTATAGAAGAAGCTGACTCTGTCACAGTCTGTTTTGTTTACTCTTATATCCTTTGCCATAAAGAGTAGTGCTTGGCAATAGTAGGTACTCAATAAATATTTGTGGAATAATTAATTAATATGGCTTAATAAGAAACTGTGTTCTTTTCTCTCAGATTCACAAACTGTTTATGTTTTTATGTTTTGGGCCAACAAATGATAATATGCTTTGACGCCCAAAATACTTGAAACAGAGGCAACTAGAGTCCCCTACATAGCATCATATCATCAGACTTCAGTCTGGATAAAGACTTGCTTTTTCACATGAATCTAAAGACTAACATGAGTTGTTCTGTTACTTTGATGATAGTAAGAAATACCTTCTCTGTGACTACTGGATTCTTTTAACTAGTATTCTGAGGTTACTTCCAAGTGGTTGAGTGTAAGATATGATATATGTTTGTTTACCTTGAGTATTCTTATCAGTCATGTGTCTCAGTATGGAATAAGTGTTAGGATCCAGTTAGTCCACTTTTGAATAGTGAACTCAAAAGAGTATAGGGCCTACACATATATGCTTATTGTTGAGGATTTATTCTTTGTCATACTCTAGAGTATACAAAAAGATGCTTTAATCGATTTTTGGAGAGATCCAGTGGCTCTATACAATTCTGGCTGTATTTAAAAAACTCTAAATAAGAGGAAAATTAACTAGTCTGACATTCTTTGGGTAGGGTTCAAACTTTTAGGGTCACCCATGGTTTTGAAAAGCTCTAAGCTTTATATCTCCAGATCTTCAAAGTGCCTGGAAAAAAAAGTGCTCGAAAAGGACCTGCATTGGTAACCTGTTTGGTGAGGCAATTTTTAGAGAAGCCAGTAAATAATGAGTGCTTTTCAACTCTAATAATTAGGCAAATGCCAAGCTATCTCTGTGTGTTTAAAAATCTAGATAAGGCCAGATATAGACATGGCTATGTTTTCTATGTATGCTTGCTATTGATTATAAGTCACAGTCAAATTAGGCAAGTCTATTTGTACTTTTTGGAGAATGTTTGGTGGCTTAGAGATGACAGTAGAAGCCCAACCAAATTCAGTTGCATGAGGCTTCTCTTGGATTCCCATGGTTTGGTTGCTCTTCCAGTCATATTTCATGAACCTCTCAGTCCTTCCTCAAAACACAGCACAGATTCATTATTCTCTGCCTTGAGCATGTCTAGCTAATATCTGGTCTACTGTAGATTCTGAGGAATCTCTATCTAAATCAATAATGGAAGAGAAATATGAGGTACTAGAAAGCGTCTCACACCAGAATAAACAGCCTCTTACTGGGAAATGGTCATTTTGGGTATGGAAGAAGCTACAGGCAGATTTAAATTCTATGTGATGTGGAATAAATCCCCTGCAGTTTCTGTCCAACAGAACAGCACACTTCTAACCCACATTAAATGGGATCCAGAAGCCTTGCCTCTTACTACTTTTCCAGAATTCTAGCATTATGGAAGTTAGCTTGTCTGTTCCCTAAGGATGGCTGATCTGTCTACTACTAGATCATTCTGATAAATGCTGTTTTCTTTCTTGTTGGTTGCTCCATTGCTAATTCTTCTTGCCTTCTTTTCACCAAGACTATGATGCCTTCTTTGAAGCCAGAGAAATAATGCAGTGTATGCCTTTTTAGGCTTGACAGCACACCACCTGGTTCAAAGGTATGATACCCATTTTTCTGCTTTATAGGTCATTATACTGCTGCTGGGATTTTTGATCAGTAAGATTTTCACCTTTATTAGTATTCAAATTAAGTCAGAGGCAGTGCATATAGCTAATCTACATTCATTTAATCCTAGTAGGGCAGACATGTCTGCATAATCACATACTAAAGTATGTGTTTAGGAGGTAGATGGAGTTAGCCACAAGACAGCAAATTCTCATTGACCTTCACAAATAAATGGTTAGCAAGTTTAAAGACTCCTTTATTTCAGCTGTCATGCATGATTCTACATCAACAGCAAGCATCTTAGTTCAAGGTAATCTCATTGCAACATTTATTGTCTTTCTGTGAGAGTAATGCAGAGTCATCCATTCAAATTAACTAAGACATTTAAGTTGCAAAACTGGTCACCAAATTGCTAGTTAAATTTTGGGCTTTTTCCTGCAACACAATTAATTTTCAGTGCAGTATTCCAGGGGAGACCAAATAAAGAAAGCAAAAATGAAATAGACTATCTAATGAAAGTCTCAAAGTATGGACTTTTTAAAATATACTTTTGCATTTTACAGTAGGTGTTCTCCACATAAGCTGGCTTAATCAAAATATATATCCTCTGCTCTATCATTTTATGTTTTGCTCTTAGCAATTGATTTCATGTTAGATTCTTCGAACTCCCCCAGTTCCTTCTTCAATTTTGAGAGTTTGTGTTTGAGATTTACTAGCATTATGTTTACATCACTGTGAAATTATGTTTCCTTGCCAAAATTTATTTTGCCATGGATAAATTGTTATACTTTAGGCTTTGTATAATTTTAATTGTAGAGAAAAGTTAGCCAAGGCACTTTGTTTAAATAACTAAGACCCAAGTTAAGTCATCAGGTTCAGTGCAGATTTGAGGAAGTATAAAAGGATAGTCTGTTTTCTATGATGACTCCCTCCCCTTCAATAAAAATTAGAATTCATCCATTCATCTGTTCATTCAGAAAGTATTTATTCAGTGTCAAGCACTGACTAGACATTAATGATGGGGCAAATACAGAGAATACAGCATAGTCCCTATATTCAAAGTGTTTATAACCTAGTGAGGGACATCTCTACAAATAATTACATAACAAATATTTGTATACATAATAATATCTCAAAACATTGTGTGCTAAATTTTATAAATTGGTATGAATAAAGTGCTAAAGAAGTCCAGAGGAAATAATCATATATTCCTAATCAGGAGGTTGGAGAAGGTTTCATAGAGGGAGTGGCATTTAAACTATTGGGGATTCCATAATATTGAAGTGACAACATAAACCATTGCATTGGGGTATAATTAGTTGCACGTGATTTTGTACTTAGGGAGCAGAGTATAATATAGCATGGCTCCAAAATAGGTATATTAAATAGAGGAGTCTCTATTAGGAAGCAAGGTTGGCTACATAGGTGGGGGCAAGATTATAATTGCTGTGCTATGTAGATTCAGCTTTATTCTCTAGACATCCAAAAGCCATGATGGGAAATGGAGGAAAATGACAATATGAGTATTTCTGTATTTTAAAGTGTGATTTAATTTATGTCTTAAGAAGAAAAAATTTGCAATTGTATGGATTGTGAAATATTGAGGAAATGAGATAATAGAGACAGACAGACCCATTAGAGGATACCTTAAGAGTACAGAAAAGTGATTGAGAAGGGCCTAAAGTAAGACAGTAGTCTTAGAAAGGGAAAGATGGATTTAGGAGACACAAAAAATTCACATGTTATAGGATTTAGCAATTAATGAGATGCTTGTACATGCCAAAAACTGGGAGGGATTAAAGCTATCTCTGGATTAAAGCTAATCATCCACTAACCTGGATGATTGGGAAGTGAAATAGATGTCACAGAGTAAACAAAAAAGTGAGTGATCCAGGGAAGGAGTTAGTCTTGGGAATAGGAGGGCATGTGGCGTTCTTCTGAAAGTGGAAGAAATGGGGAGAAAAGGATAAAAATAGAGAAAGTTTAATGTGTGGGAAGGTTGGGTAAATTCACTGAATGTCTTACCTTCAGTGTGACGTAGGAAGAAAAGTTATCTACTAGGAGTGAGGGGAAATTTGGGACAATAGAACCTTGAAAATAGGCTAGGGAGTAGGCTAAATAGTGAATGGAAGGGCGGTTAAGCAAGAGCCCTGCTGTAGTTAGAATTGGTGAGCCCATAGGGAAGACAGCGTGGTTATAGTGTTTTTTTTCCCCATCATTGTTTAAGCTTTGGAGTAGGAATAGAGTAAAAGAACAGGGGATGTTATGAAGTACTGGACAAGAGGGAGCTGATACATTGGGTATTTAATAGCTTTTTCCAGGACTAAAAGTGATGAATTTGATATCAGAATGGTTATATTTTTATACTTCAGCTCAATTTCTAGAGTTTCCCCCTTTTAACAGTACTGGCTGAATAGAAGGTATACCAAATAAGAAATGCAACTAGTTAACCCACATTGGGAAAGTGTACTGATAATAAAAGACATGTGAGAAAATGATATGTAGTTTTTATCTGTGTAATCAGCAGAAATAAAATGATAGAACTCGGTGCTGAGAAGGTTATATTGAAACAGATGCTCTAATATATTACAGGTGGTATAAATTGGTACTCCTTTTTGAAAACGAGAAAACAACTATGTATCAAAAACCTCAAAAATGTTTATACTCCTTCATGCAGTAATTTCACATTGAGTATTATAGTGTAATGAAATAGTTCTGTACATGGAAAAAGCTTTATGGATAAAACCACAAATGAAAATGTTGTTTATAATCTTAAAACTTTGAAAACAAGTTAAATGTTTAACAGGAGGGTCAACCACATGAATTCATCCACTGAATGAACTTTATGGATAAATATTATGAATCAAAGTATCATACTGTATACAATCCTGAGCTTTGGAAACAAGTTAAATGTCTACCTATTAGGTCAACAAAAATAGTTTATTCACTGAATGAACTTGTGCTGTCATTAAAAAAATGATAGTTTGTAAAAGGATATATTAAATGAGCTACAGAATTGTTTGCACAGTATAATTAATATTCTAATTACATTTAAAATTTATGCATAGGACAAAAAGGAGACTGAAAGGAACCATAGTTAAAATGCATATTTTCTCTCATTCTCTGTTTTCTAAATAATTAGCATAAACACTCTTTACATTTAAAAATTATTAAAAACTAATGTACCAGAGAGCTTGATATTTAAAAGCACCCTATGGCAAATATTCCATAAAGCAAAGAATCCTTCTGTGGAAGATAAATATTTTTATACTTTTGTTTATTTAATGTGTTTAAAACAAGGTATATAAATATTTACTATTAGTTACTCTATTTTATCAATACAAAGAGCATTTCTTTGAGGTAGAAGTGATGGTTTGGAGATATGAAATAAAATAATTGATACTTTTATTAAAAAATAAAAACCTAGTGATTTTTGTGCAGGGAGGAAAACTACTCTCCTCAGAAAGGCGTGTTGACTAATATTTTGAAGGAATATAGGGTGCTAGTTAGAGAAATGTTCTCATTAGCTTTGGTTGAATCACCCTGCTCTAGGGAGGGCCTATGGAGTTTGCCTCTGCTGTGAGATTTGAAGCAATCCTATTTCCACTGAATTCATAGTATGCTTACTGCATCTCCAAGAGAAACTGCATGTTAATAACATGTAGCTGTAGTCTTGGTTTCAGTTAGTAGGCAAAAAAGAGGAGGGAGAAATGCAGGAAAGACGGATGTATGCCTACAATGGGCCAAGCAATGAACTGGACACTCCATGTACATCTTATTTTATCCTTACATCATCCCTCTAAGCTAGATGTCCTTAGAGATATTTTATAGAGGAGGAAGCTGATGCTCGGATAATTTAAATAATTTGTCCAAGAACATATAATAATTGCGTATCAGAGCTGGAATTTTAACCCAGGATTATCTGACTCAAAACCAGTGCATTTACGGAATTACGTTTACGTTGGGAGGAGCGGGGAGAGCACCTCATATGCTTGTTTCTAAGGCTCTGTGGTTGATTAGATGACTCACAATTCTAATATAAATATTAACTAATTAATTTTAGGTATTAATAAAGCTTCCAGTTCAACTTATGTGTTTGCTGAATAAAAAATAATTAGAAAAGTAAATAATGTACTTTAAATATAATGTATTCTAAAGGCAAATTAGAAGAATTTTAAATTGAATTTTGTCTTAGATGTCTATGCTAGTAATTTCTTCCACTAGAAAGGATTACTGAAAACAATGGAATTTTTGACAAATTACAGGAAAAAATGATAGGGTGTGACTTTAGGTGTTAGGTGCTCATAGGAAGAAGGACTTCACATTAGGACATATTATTATACAGGTATTTCTCCGAACTGTATATTCTAGGCCTTTGAAGGGTCTTAGTATAAAATTCATTGTGTTGTGTGCAGAAATTCTTCAAAGCTCTTTCTATGAAAAGAAACAAGATTCATAATGTAGGTCTAAGATGTATTCATTTTGACAGCTAAACACTAAAAAGTTGGAAGCTTGAAAGAAGCTTAGGGACTTTAAATTTTTTTTGACTAGGCATTTTAGAAGGTGAGTCAATAATATATTTCACCTGTTTTTTAAGGATGTATTAATATTAAGAATGAATTACAGTGTCCTTTCTTGTTTATTTCTTTCCTTCATTTTTGTCTTTTTTTTTGGGTAAAAATCTAGCATCTCTTTTTGTTTTTCTACTTTCTTTTGAATGTAGTATCAGAGACTAATTTTGGAATATTCAGCTGCTCCTGGATCCTTCTGAAGCTGTCAAGTATTAAATTAGTGACAGGTGCTTACAGTGATATTGTCTACATCCCTACAACTTAAGTCTGATGTTTCTTTTGCCAAAGTTACCCTTGCCACTCATCTTTAGTTCAACAAACTTTCCTTGATGTTTATTTTGTGTCAAGTACCAGAGCACCCACATAGGTCAGAGTTCCTATGCTAGAGGTGAGTATATCA